ATTGTAATTAATTCATTTGTATCGTACCAAATCCATTTTCAAACATATATAACAAATATAAGATATAATTGAAAATGAGACTTAAAGAAAATAACAAATACAAGATTTAATTGCACACAAAAATTCAGAGACTGACATTTTCTTAGTTTATTCTATGCTTTTCCATGGTAACGTCGAGTCTTTATCACTGGGCGCCGTACAAAGGGTACGGCTATGCATAACTCGGCCCGCAGCAAGATCAATGGCCCTTAATAGTCAATTTCCATAGCAGCAGAACCGTGGGACTGTTCCTATAAATAGTTATAGAAGAAGTAGGTACTGGTATTAAATTGCGTTTATGCTGTCACTACGAATTTATTCCTCCATGCTCATGGAACAACATGAGTTTGGCCTGGTTATAACACTGGGCGGCGTACAAAGGGTTTGAGCTATGCATAACTCGGCATGCAGCAAGATCAATGACACGTACACTTTGATTTAGTCTGTATTTCCATAGCAGCAGAGCGTGGGAATGTTCCTATGAATAGTTCTAGAAAAAGCAATATACTGGCATTAAATTGCGTTTATCCCGTCAATATTCATGGCAAAAACATGAGTTTGGTCTGATTATAATACAGTATAAAAGTGTATAGGAAATTTCAATGGGTTTCGAGTCTTGGTATTCGACATTTCGGTTTTAAATTTTACAGAATAGCTCAATAACAAAAGACAGAATATAGTATTAAAATTAATTCATAATAACGAATGAAACTTATGACAAAACATAGAAAAGAGACTTGTCGATAAATTAAATTATAGTACATCAAAATCACGAGATAAACCGACGCAAACAAGTAGAACAAAAGCGTCAGAAAACGAACCCTAATTCGCGAAATGGAATCGTCCAACATTTTTTATCAGTATCTTGAACCACTCGTCGGCAACGCGAAGAGATTTTAATCCCCAACCACGCGTTGTAGACGGGTATACGCGTTGCTTTATTTTGCGAAGCTCCCTTAACGATTTAATCTCAGGTTTGTCCTGAGAGTGAAGTTTAAAAATGTTGGTAGGGAAGTGGACATCTATAGCCTTATTAATAACTTTATAGAATGCATCAGCTTTATCGCAGGTAAAAGATGCCTCAATAACTTCATGCAAAGGGTGGTTGGTTATCCGAATTGTAGTAATTATCGCCTATTATACTGTGATAAATACCAAGGGAAGCTTACCTTATCCGATGGGATATCTTGCTTATTGCGATAATACTCCAATATGTAGTACGGTAATACTCTTGTGTAGACTCGGACACTAGATACACATAAACAATCCTGTAGCGTTAGCCATGTATGATGCGTCTTGCATGAAGTCCAGTGTACGAGTGAGAAACTCACCAGGTACCCCAGGTCGGCTGTGCAGCACACCCGGCTTTGGGTTATGCTGATGAGCTGACCTTGAGGTCATGCCCTCCTGCGTAGATCAGGGATATACGAACGTACGGGGTCGTCACTACACTCCTCCTTCGTTTGAAAAAGGAGACGCTACCCCGTGGACAATAACCCACTGGGAGATATCGGGTGATCAATGGAGTAGCTTCCATAGGTGTGGAAGTCTATTTTCTTTTTCTATGGGAAGGCAGAGAAACTAGGAAGTCCCTCAACTACTGCAGTCGTCATCAACATAGTCTTGGGTTTTAGTAGAGCAGTCAGGGGAAAATCACCTGATGGAATACGGTTACCCATGTATTCTGATCCACAACTCGGGGGAAAGCCATCAGACTCGACGACCAACCATGTGGATGTTTTCCAAGACCCCATCCAGGAGAGTTACCAGATATTAGATTCAATACCCGGGTCCCAAGTGATTTGACCGTTAAATCTCCGGTCCATTCTGCAGGGGCCTCTCTGAACATATACAGGTAGTTGCACAGTGCTCAGTAGAGGATGCTCCATCTGGAAGTTTTGCAAGCCATCTGGCCTACATGCTTGCAACGCCCAGGACATTCCCATACCCAGGGAACCTTGTTGCTGCTCGACATCTACCGACTTGCCCAGGTTTCTGCATTTCATCATGGCATTTTGTAATGCATGGTGGTCAGTGCAGGATTGGATAACTCCATCTTCCAGAATCTTATTAATTTCTTGCTCCTCGTTGCTGTCAAAACGTAACGGCGTGGGCCGATGACGTTGTTTAATGAGAGGCCCATCGGTAATAATTTCATCTACATGTCCATTCACATTGTGACAGTAGTCATATTAACAACATCTGCAAATCTGTTTCCTACCACTTGCGCAATATTAGATTTATTAAGAAATTCTTAACCAACAAGGCTTTAATTAAAATTCTTCATTTCAATTCGACTGGATTACTGCAACAGTATACTATATGGCATTCCACATAAGCATCTTGTAAAACTTCAACTTCTTTTAAATATGGCAGCCCGTCTTGTAACCGGCACCTCAAGATTTGACTACATTACTCCAACTCTCCGTCAATTACACTGGCTCCCGGTTAAGAAACGAGTTGTGTATAAGCTAATGCGGTCAGCTATTGATTTCACAGGTGTCATAATGATGTGTGTAACTAAATATTGGTCTATCGAGCAACAAAAATGAACAAATGTGAGTGGTCTATAGTGAGTTATAAAGATGAGTTTTTCAATTGGCTTTTGAAAATCCCGGTTGAAGGTGCCTGATGTACATAATCGGGAAGGCTGTTCCAAAGCTTAGGGGCAGCAACTGCGAATGCTCGATCAAGTTCTGAGACGACTTTGGGGAACGAATAGCACTGATTTATCAGTTGTTGACCTAAGGGATATTGTACAAGTCGTGGATCTTGTCACAATCATCTCACGGATGTATGCTGGTGACTGGTTGTTCAATGATTAATATGTAATAAGCCCTTGGTCGGTCAGTGAAACGGTGTGATGATGTGTGATTATATTTTTTATCTGTTTTGTCGGTTATTATTTTTGGTTAGTTTAGATTATTTCAAATTTATTTCCATACATTATTCACATATATTTTTCAAGCGCCTTGAGACGGGTTCGATCGTGGAAGGCGCTTTATAAATACAGTATAAAACCAAAACCAATAAACCAATGTTTGCTTTGTGGACTAACAGTATTGCTAGGCACACCTGGAACAAGAGAAACTGCGTCGTTCTTGGTTTCTTCGTCTTTAAGTAGTTGTTGGCCGCTAAGGGGAGGATGGTCGGCTAGCTGGCAATGGCTTCCAACCCCTACTCGTTTAAACGATCCTCTCCCTGAGCGCCAACCCGCCTAGGTTGTTTAGAAAAGACGAGTTTGGGACAGTTATTACGACAGTGTCCTGCCTCTTGGCATTCAAGGCATCGATCCCCATGTGGTTTCAACATCTCCAACACTGCGTCCAGCTTTCTGTTAACTGCATCCACCTGATCTTCGAGGCAGGTAACCTTCTTTCAGTGTTGCATGATGGAGATGGGAATGGTTTCTGGACTGTCGTGACCGGTTTACTTGCGGGTGTAACTGTTGGCATTTTGTAGCCCTGCAGTCTCTGCTCCCTGTGTCTTCATCCTCTGAGTAAAGGAGATGATGAGCGTTGAGTGACACGAGTAGCAGACTTGATCAGGGAATTTCCACTATTTCGAGATCTGCTCCCTCTCTTACCAGACAGCTTTCGCAGGCTTTAGGACGGCGGGCAAGTCTTCCTCCCCGAAGCGTTTGTCAAAGGCCTTCAAGATCTTCTTAAAGGTGATCCTACGGTCCATTTCTAGGAGGCTCACATAAAAATCAGCCGCAGGTCCCTCCACACCCTAACAGAGTGTTTCGATTCTAGCTTTTGGTGAAAGCTCATACTCTTCAGTAAATGCCATAAAGCGTTTTTAAAAAAAAGACCAGCTTTCCTTGCCCTTAAATATTAAGTTCTTGGGGATGTCCCTCTGCTTTAGGGAGAACATCTCGGGTCTATAATCTCCTCGTCATGGGTTGTGTCTACGATAATCCTCCCATCGTTGACGAGGTCTATAGTAATCTTCCTGTCGTTGATCATATAGTCTTCCCATCTTTGATCAGGTCTAGGATAATTTTCTCGACGCTGATCAGCTCTGACGTGTTCCAGAAAGGTTTGCCGACCTCGCAAAACATCACTATCATCCTCATCAAAACTTCCCTCACTCTCACTTTCACTAACACTCTCCTCCTCACTCTCACCTTCTTCGGAGGATTCGACAGTACGATGGGTTTGCCTGCTTTTCCCCTCAGATGATGACTTACCCAACCGGGATGCTGGCGACAGACTACACCACAATATAGTGGCCCTGTACGCTTCCCCCTACAACGTCCCTATTTAAAAACTACGCTAAAAACCTAGTCTCTTTGTAGCTGTGAGGGTACTCGCCGGTCTGCAAATCCAATTGCCGGCTCCGAACACTTCTCCCCACTAACAAAAAAAACCCTAACTAATCAAAACCCAGGTAAAAATTCCCATTGAGACCCGTTGAAAAAACCCAGTTGAAAACCCGTTGAAAACCCATTGGAAAAATCCAACACGTGTTTTCGCACCCTCTCAATGGGTCCAACGGGTTTTAATGGGTCCAACTGGTTTTCCAACGGTGTTTCAACGGGTTTAACTGGTTTTCAATCCCAATTGGTTCAACGGGTTACAGGTTCCCAATGGGTTTCCAATGGGTGTTCAATGGGTTTTCTAATGGTTTTCCAATGGGTTTTTAATGAGTTTCCTAATGGGTTTTCAACTGGTTTTCAATGGGTTTTCTACTATGGGTGTCCAACTGGTTTTCAATGGGTTTGAATTCCAACTGGTTCAACTGGTATTCCAAAGGTTATGAGGTCCAACTGCTTTTTCAACTGGGTTTCAATTCTAATTGGCCAACTGTTATGATTCTAACTCTGAGTCGCTGCAATATCTATTTAAATTACTTACTTTATCACCAAATGAATTGAAACAACATTTTTGTTATTATTTATTACTGTGCATTTATTATTAAATTCCACCAACAGTTACAAAATTACATACTTTGACCATTTAAAAATTATGTATCATATTAATATCTAAGTAAATGTAAATTATATATTTCTTTAATACATTCAATGCAATATTTTAAATTTAAGAAAATATATTTAAAAATCAATTATGCATATTACATTCTATATTTACTCTATAGTTATAACAAGATCTATAGTATAAGTCAAATTGGACAATGAATTAATAATATAAAGAAACAATATGCAATTATTACTACTGTACACTTTGATTACATTGTATATAGTGAGCAAATTTATAAATACATTAAGGATTAAATTAAATGATTATAGATGATTACAATGCAATTGTTTTATTTAATTTAAAAAAAACCTGAATTTAGAGAATATAAATAAATCAATTATGTTTCTTTGCAGAAAACTAAAAAACAAAAACAGATCAATTATTTTTTAACTTGTCAATTATCTTTTGTTAAGTGATGTGCCGATTGAAGTGGGAGCTTTCTACAGCTTTCTCCTTGGTATGGCTGTATGATTACGAATATTGTTGCTTTTTGAAACATTCCTGAAAAAGAAATTGAAATATCACTTATTTAAAAAAAAATGGTTTAACTTGATTTAAAACAATGGATTGCTAGATATAGTGTGCTTTCAGTGGCTGTGAGCTCTTATAATAATAAAATAATAATAATAATAATAGTAGACTTAGGGCAAAAAAAAATTGTTAGATTATCACTCCCACCCGCGTTAAAAAATTTGGAAATATTGATGCGGGAATAAAAAGAGTAATTTTTTTTGCCGCATTATTTATTTTAACAGCTTAAAAAAATGATGCAATTTTGTGACGGGAAATACATTTTCTTTAAAAACAATAAAATTAAACTTGTAATATTCTTGAAAATAAATACAGTCCCTCCCTCATCAATTAAAAAAAAAGCAATATTCTATTGTTCTGTTAAAAAAAGCCAAAAAACACCCACCCTCATCAATTTTTTTTTTAAATAGTGATAATCTAATATTTTTTTCTATGTGCCCTTATATTAGCATATTATTAGGCCCTCATTGGATTAATGCCTAAGGAACACAAACTCCAGCTCCCTGAGGAAGTATTCTATAACGCTGCAGCAGGTACATCAGCGCATGTTGGTACAGGGTATTTAAATCTACCAGGTACCCACTTATACTCCTGGGTAGAGAGAAGCAATGCAGATAAAATGCCTTGCCCAAGGACACAAGTTAAATACACAGCGAGGGGATTGCAACCCTGACCCTGCGTCAAACCACTTCTACTTATTGACCAAAACCAGTGGCAATGGACCTTAAGGGCCCAGTATATTAATCAGATTTTTTCTGCCAGGACCATAGACACTCCACTAAGCCATGTGTCATAAATCAGTCATGTGTTAACACATCAAAAAAGTCAGTCACCAGAGCAAACTGGAGCTTCTACCCCATACCTCTATCTGTGCCCTGCCACCAGGCCTTGGCGAAGTATGTGCTTTACGTACAATTAATACTACCTGGAGCCCTATGTGCCCACACATATGTGTGCTTTACAGTGTGTGCTTTACAATAATACTTTTTTACAATAATAAATTTTATGTAAAAACCCAAATAATTATGTTTCATGTAATTGACCACAAGGCTTATCTTTAGGCTTAATGTTTACAATTCACATTTAAATTACCTTGTATTTGTATTACCAGGGCTGATCCATCCTTCTGTAGTTGTGAGCACAGGTTTCTCTTCTTTGATAGCCAACAATGGTTAATGGAATAAATGATTTTCACACGTATCTGTGAGATACACTTACTGTATCTGAAAATTCAGAGATTTGAAATATGGTACAGTTAAAAACAATTGGTTAATGAGCAACAATTGACAGGGTAACCAAACCATAACTTATATCAACTTCTGTCCATCATTATCTGTTTTTTTTTTTCAACTTCATTTAGGTACTTTCCACTACTCTACCATGTTCTGTTGAATTAGAAGACATAAAATGAGTGTAATACAGGTACATTGCAAATTATAAAAAGGGCAATCAATTTTTTAATGGGGAGGATAATACTGTATGCAGCATCAGAAGGTGGCTTTCTAGTCAAAACGGCAATATACCAAAATGGCAATAAGTCCAAACAGCAACACTTTTTTACCAGAACGGCAATGGATCAAAATGGCAATAAGTCACTAAATCAAAACGGCAATAAACCAAAATAATAATAATAATATAATAATAATAATAATAATAATAATAATAATAATAATAATAATAATAATAATAATAATAATAATAATAATAATAATAATAATGGCCTATAACAACAACATACATACGAACGAATTCAATAATAAAAAGACTGGGGAAACACAATATCAAACAAAGCAGTAGACAATTCAAATATATATAAAACTTTAAAATACATTGGACAAAATATGAGGCAAAACAAATGTACAGTAATTAAAAGTAAAAAAAAAAATCCGATAAAAGAAATGAAAATAAATAATAATAATAATTGGCAGGGCCTATGCCCTAGCCTAACCAAGTAGTAGTAGAGTAGGTAGCTAGGCCCCTAGCATAGGGCTAGGCCCTATTTGTACGAAAAACTAAGTACTACTAGGCTAGGCCTGCCATTCTATAGGCCTAGGCCATAGCCTAGGCTAACTACAGTACAGACAAACTGTAGGCCTAGGCCTAAGTTAGCTACGAAGATAGTGTAGGCCCAGTCTGCCCTGGATTTTTATTATTTTTTTTTACATTAGTATGGTCCTATCGTATTCTTATCTTACATTTTCTATCGAACACTGCATCATCAGCTACTGCACCGTCCTAGCTAGCCTAGCCTAGGCTAGGCCCAGTAGTACTGGCCCAGCTAGGCTACGGCTTCGTCGGCTAGGCCTAGTAGAGGCTGTATGAAACATTCAATCAATCAAGTTGTGTTGAATATTAAGTCTTGCAACAATGAAGTATCCTTGCTTTGTAGTCATCAGTGAGCAAACCAGCTATTATTGTTGTATTTTGTACCTTAAAATCACAGATATTTGTCAAACATTGGTAGGCTCCACTGGTACCTGGTACTGTACACACAATGAATTTGAATGTGGATCCTAGGTTTCCATTGGTCAGTTTCGTAAGGTTAAAGGAGTGGCCAATGACGGCAGGGCATATAATGAAACCTGGAATGCCATATCACTACCACATGGAGGATGATACCAATGACAATACAAATAATTAAATGTATGAATAAATAATTAATTAATGAGGCCTAATGATAATAAATAGTAGGCTATTAATAATAGGCCTAATTAAAAGTAAATATTAATTAAAGCAAATTTTAACCATTTTATTATGCCACAATATTATAATCCCTCGGTCCGCCGTGCATCACCGGCTGGGAGTCCAAGCCCAAGCATTTTAGCCAGTAGCTGGATCAATTGAGGCCAATTGAACCCTTTGATGTCGTACCAATTAGACCAGTTGAAACTTGGAGCCCCCATTCCGTAACCAATTGGACCAGTTGAAACCAATGCACCCCATTGAAAACCAATTGAACCAGTTGAAACCCATTTTAATAATAATAATAATAGATGGATTTATATAGTGCAAATAAACGAGGTCTCTATGCGCTAAAATCCATTAGACCAGTTGAAAATCCCAACTGGTCTATGTTTTTACCTGGGTTTGGATAATACCAGTTAGACCCATATTGGATTATACCAGTTACACCCATTGGATAATACCAGTTAGACCCATTGGATAATCCAATTAGACCCATTGGATAATACCAGTTAGACCCATTGGATAATACCAGTTAGACCCATTGGATATTCCAGTTAGACTCATTGTATAATACCAGTTAGACCCATTGGATAATACCAGTTAGACCCATTGTATAATACCAGTTTGACCCATTGTATAATACCAGTTAGACCCATTGTATAATACCAGTTAGACCCATTGAATAACACCAGTTAGACCCATTGAATAACACCAGTTAGACCCATTGGTTAATACCAGTTAGACCCATTGGATATTCCAGTTAGACCCATTGGATAATGCCCAGTTGGACCCATTGAACAACACCAGTTGGACCCATTGGATATTACCAGTTCAACCCATTGATTAATACCAGTAGAACCGGTTGAAAAATACCAATTGGACCCATTGAACCTCGTTCAACAAGTTGGACCCATTGAAAAATACCAGTTGGACCCATTGAACCTCATTGGACCCATAAGAAATTTCAATGGGTTTCAATGGGAATTTTTACCTGGGAAATAGAGCCACTAGTTAAGCAATATATAGTATGTGCGAAAACACAATACTTATGCCTATCACTAGCTACTAAAATAATATTATAGTACTGTTGTACTATACTTTGCCAATGTAGTATTTATTATTATACCACACAAGCACTGTACTGACAAGCCTTTTGCTCGCAGAACCAATGTAGTAATTATCGCCTATTATATGGGGGCTGAGGCTATCGGCACTGCCGCAGTGCAAAAAAAAGCTGCTGTTTTCTATCGGCACTGCCGCAGTGCCAAAAAGCTGCTGTTTTCTATCGGCACTGCCGCAGTGCCAAAAAGCTGCTGTTTTCTATCGGCACTGCCACAGTGCGAAAAAAGCTGTTTTTTCTATCGG